ATATTTAAATAAATTTATACAATAAACTAAACTTTTAATATACAATTTTTTCAAAAGTACCTTAATCCATCGAGAAAACAAAAAGGTTTTATTTAGAAGAAATTTCACATTAAAAATATAATTTATTTATATTCTTTTAATAAAATTATTTTTATATTATTCATTAAAGATATTTAAATAAAAGTTAAAATCCCTTTTTGGTCCCTGAATTATTGTATGAACCCTTGATTTGGTCACTAAACTAAAAAAATTCCTGATTTGGTCCCTACTATTTACCATTTTTACCCCGATTTGGTCATTCTGTTAAAAATCTAGTGACGTGTACTATTAACTAACGGGAACACGATGACATGTCTAAATATCGTGACATGTCATATGTACACATGGAAAAAAGATGACATGTCATAAAACACGTCAGATTCTCGCCAAGCAAAAAAAAAAAAAGTGGGGCCCACCTCCTGTGCAAACTCAATATCTTCTCCTCCTTCTTCCCATTCGAACCCTAGAAGTGCAGAGGGCACACCGTACCTGCAGAAAAACCAAAAGTCCCATTCTCCTTCCTGCTTTTTGTTGGTGAATCTTTGATCTTTCACTTTCGAATCTTTGCGTTTAGTGCTGAAAGAGGTGGAAATCGAAGAACAATGGAGTCTTCGAACATCATAGATGTCATGCTTCTCTCCATTTCAAAACCCTAAAAGAACAGAGCTCTTTTGTCTTTGATCCTAAGATTCACGCTTTCGAAATCAACTATTTTGTCCTTCTTTCGAGTGGATCTTGAGAAATTTTAGGCAATGAAAGTTGTTGAATCGATATCCATTCCTTCAATTTTTGATGGTGCGAGTGCTAGTGGTGGTCAAACGACAGAATTGAAATGCGAGCGTGGTTTAGCACTTGTGTTGAGGACAGCACTGACATTCCAGAACATGGGAAGAAGGTTTTGGGGATGTCCAAATTTCCTGGTAAGGCTTGTATTCTTTAATTTTAGTTGCAGATTTATCTAGTTTAGTGCCATTTTAGAAGCATAAAGTTTTTTTTCTTAACTTTTGTGTTGTTTAGACTGGAAAGCCTTGCAAGTTCTTCCATTTTATTCCTGGTGATAAGGTGATTGAGGGTAGAGCAAGGGATCTGTTACTGAGGTTGAAAGATAAGCAGCTTCGATTTCAGTCCGAGAATGAAAGGCTGAAGATGGAAAATGCTGATCTGATCAAGGAAAATACTGATTTACTGAAGGAAAAGGTTGATTTGATAAAGGGAAATGATGATTTGATGAAGGAAAATGTTGGATTATTTGTGGAAAATGGGAACTTGCTACACGAGAATGGGGTTTTAATAGCTGAATCTGAATCACTAGTGAAGAAGATTAAGCATTTGGAGAAGAAAGTAAAAAGAAGTGAGAAGATTTGCATAAGATCAAAAAAAGTGTGTATCATTTTGTGTGTGTTTTGCATGTTAAGTGCTGTATCTGCTATTGGTCTATTTATTGGCCTACAGAGATTGCATTAGAATCCAGGTTTTGGTTAGTTTATTGACCTACAAAGGCTGCACTAGAATCCAGGTTCTTGTGAGTTTATTGCAAAGAAGTCAATACCATACCGGCATGCGCACCGATTTTGTTACTGGAACGGTACGTACCGGATACCAAAATTTTTCGTGTACCGTTTTGGATTTATCACAATAAATATATTTTTATAAGATAAATTAATGTAATTAAGGATAAGATTTGAAAAAACCTTTTGAGTTAGTAACAATCCTGTTTTTTTTTCAACCATTAACCTAAACCCATTATAACCCAAGCAAAGATACTTTAGATGGTTTAAGTTAAAGACATTAAAATAATGACAATCATTAAATAGATTATAGCAAATCACATTCTATTTATAAAAGTTAAAAAGATTGAATGATGAAACAGATACCTAATGGTTCATCACAAGAGTTCTTCAATTGTTTCTGTCAAGTGACAATTATAAACAAACAACAAAATTAATGATCTTGTACATAATTATAAGGATCCTCATTTGAAGGAATTCCATAACCTGTAATGCCACCAACTCCAGTCCAAAGTTGTTCACTTTCATTTTCAAGAGGAACTTGTGGGACATCTTCTTCATCATAAACAACACTATCAGTATCATCAAGGATTTGATTTGGCAAGGATAATCATCTTTATCAAGAAGAGTTGGCTCCTCAACCACCCAATCAGCTAATATGTCAATATTGCCAAGACTAAGAGGATCCATTGCTTCTTTGCCCCTATAAATAATTCTATAAACAAGCAAAAATCACAACTAACATTTGTTTGATTTCTATATAAAACATAAATGTGCATAAA